AACCTGCATTCGATTGACAATTTTTTTTAAATTTTTTACGATTAACGAGCATTGTGTCTTCTTTGTACATGGTGTAGAGAAATATCTTTAAGTTTTTTAATGGAAATCATATTGGTTTTATTACTTAGCAATACAAGGAGCAGTAAAATATTATATAGTTCAATTGGTTATTAAAATCAGTTACATAAAATATAAACATAAATATTGTTTCAAAAGGACTGTCTCAGTGAATAAAAGTAATATAATATTATTATAATTATATTACTATTAAATCAAATTACATATACATGAGGAAACCTGCATGTCAGAAATTAAAAAAGAAAAGAAATATGTCGTAGAAATGTGAAGTCCTCCAATACCTACGCATTTAGAACAGCGCTGCGGACTTTTCCTAGCCCTAAAATTTTCTCAGAAATGTGAACGTGCCCAGGAATGGGACGTAGTAGGCTGTAACATATAGTTTCATTTATCCCTCATTCTTTATCGCTACAAAAGTGTATACGTTTATCAAATTCTCTGAAATACAAAACTTTTCGATGATCGAAATCATTACCACAGAGGTCCTAATTTCCAAATTATGACCTCTTCGGTAATGATTTCGAACTCAAACCTACAATAAACTTGAATTAACAACAATTGGAGATTGAAAAAGCAAGCAATGTATTGTAGGTTCGGTTTCTCAAACAAAGCCAGTATTGCGACTCCTTAAATTAAAAAAATAACTCTCCAAGTTTATTTTACATATCAGTTCTTTATATATCGTGCGTTTATATATGTTTTATAGCTTACATCATCTTAACGAAATTATGGCCATCTCATTATGTAATAGTTCAATAGTCACTATAGTTTTTACATAAATAACATGTAATTGAAAGCTCAGATGATGCAGCGTGTGTAAATAACAAGCATTGACAGCATTAAGAAGCAGTAAGATAACTTAGAACTAGAACTACAGTTAGTCTTAACAACTACGTGACATAATTTCGTCATATAAAGTATATGTGTATCCTGTATTCGATATTCAGAATTATATTATATGTAGAATCTTTTAGGCCAATTATTCAATAGTCAGATCAAAGTTATAATACAACAAATAAATTATAACCCGATTGTATACAAAAGTTAAACAATTCAACTATTTTATTCATACAACTGTAATTTTTAATTTGTTCATGTTGCATTTTATCCTGTGAATAACTTTTATCTCATTATGAATTTCGGCCTTAAGATTTTTATTTTGTAAATGCAAATGTACGTTTTTTTCATTTAATGCGTTTATTTTCATTTGAATTTAGATTTAGTACAAAATCTAAATTTAAATGTAAAGACCACAAACTATGAAAACTATTTAATACGAGGTACTCACATCAAAATTTATTATATTGATTAAAACACGTCAAATGTTAATGTGACGACGTTAGTTCAAGTTGCGACTACAAGCCAAGTGTAAAACGGATAAATTGTACTTACCGTCACACTTTAGTTGTAGTCGGATATATTATATATAATACATAAACCAGCTGACTTTTTGCATTTTGAAAAATAATAGGCTGAATGAAGTAAAAGCCTATGGCATATAAATTTTTCGGAAAAAAATACGACTAAAATAATGAACGTCAAACCATGTGCACCCTACTCAACACATGGCAAATATTAATGAATTTGTGACTCCATTTTCCTTAAGCCGGCCGCTAGGTAAGAAGTTAATTGCAAATTAGTAGTAGCATCTGGGCGAACGAGCTTTACTCGGAGTTAGAAAAAATATTATTTCTTTAGGGATTACAATAATTTCTATTTTAATAGTGTTAGATATGTTTGCTTGTACCAAGTTTTTTCGACCAAAGCTTTGACTTCGCGGGTAATAAATAGTGTAAACGTTGCACTTTTAATATAATGTATATAGTAAAGGTTATTGCAAATGTTTAATGTTCAGAGGTGATTGTTTAAAATAGCTTATTAATGAGCTTGTATCATAAAACGCTCTAAATGTCTTAGACGAAATTACCAATATATACGGATGTTCCCAGAAATGATACCTGTTTAGATCGATTTCTCGCCCGCAAATAGGCGTTTAGACATTCGCCCGTAAACCCCTATTTGTGAATTTTATCGAAATCATTAGTGCCTTTTTTGAGAACACAATTATAAACAAATATATAATTCTCGTTAAGATTTATTGATTGGTCAATTTCATAAATGTCAATGAAAAAATAATAAATTTTAAAAATATCTATGCCACGGGTTTCTATTTCTACTTCGTTCATCTATTTTTTTTACAGTAAAAAAGCCAGCAGGTGTATTATTATATTATATTATACACTAATACTACCTTACATACTTCTTAAGGTTCAGCGGGCACACATCTTCTATTGTAGTACAGTGCCCTAAATGGTGGCCGCTCATAATGTATAAAAATGTGTAAAAAGTATGCGAAACAAGCCCATCAACAGCGTGCTCCACTCTCTACTTATAAGCGTCAGGTTTCACATACGTTTTCCACATTTCGGCACCCGAAGGTATATTATCTATACAAAACATTACACAAAGCTTTTCCCTCGGAAGTTCCTGGCGTTTTTAACGTAAATGTAATATATCATATAAAAGAGAGAATTTACTCAATATGGTTATTTTGTTTTCTTAATTAAAATTTAGTATTTATTAAAAATAAATTATTATGTTGCTTACTTTTCAGAACTTCGTATGAACCCAGTTTTGTAAAACATCAAATTTTACGTAAAAATCAAGGAACCCATCTTTCCAACCCCGCGTGCTCGTAATTTTGATATCTTATGATAAAATATACTCTCTTTTATTCTCTGTTTCCTCCTCTTCTGCTTAAGTGTCAGCAACAGTGCAAAAACAATTAATTCTTCTTCATTTGAGACGTACATTTACGAAAGCGTCACTGAATCTAAAATAACAGTACTAAATTTCTAATGGAAAGGAGACGAAGGATAGAAGAAAACGACGAATCTGAACGAAATTCAAACTGCTTATAAATTACTCTGTTCCTTGATTGTATAATTCTGTATGGTAAGCAATTTAATAAATTAGATTTTTACACAAATTTGAACAGACAAAAGTTTCTTTGACGGAAACCTAATTAGAAAACCAGACGTTTGCGCCTTGTCTAGGGGTTAGGTCTAAGTGATAAGCGTTTCCTGGGGCAATGGCAGGGCGAGACGGTTCCCCACATAAATGTTTGCAACACGAATGGGTTGGTTTGACGCGAAAGATGAAGCTTGTACTGTACAGTGAATTTGAAACTTCCAGATCCAGACCTCTAAGACGTCGTAAGACTCCAAAGAGTTTTGATTATGAACACGAAGACCATACTATAAATGATCCGAAGACCGCTTTTAAATTTAATGTATTTTTTATATATTGGATCAAGCTTTATCCTCCGTAGACGAAAGATTTAATTTATTGAATAATCTTAGTTTAATTTTTTTGATGACCAAGATCAAAGTCGTTGAAGAAGTAGTTGTCATCGTTTGCAGAAAAAACTTTCTGCAAACGATGACAGCAAATGATTAATTGGATATTAACGCCGATGAATCGTGTGAAGAAATTGTGTCGTGTCAGTGTCTTTTCAAAAAATTAAATAATGATGTGGTGAAAATTCTCGAATTCATATATTTAAACAATTTGACAGCTGTTTGCCCTAACATCACCACATCATTACGAATTTTGCTAACTATGCCAGTTACCGTAGCAAGCGCTGAAAGGGCCTTTTCTAAATTATAACTTATAAAAAATTACCTGCGCTCAACAATCAGACCGGAAAGATTAACAAATTTAGCAAAAATATCCATAGAGAAGGCCATATTAGACCACACGAGACTATTAAGGATTTCACAAACAGAAAAGCGAGAAGAGTGGAAATACTATAATTTAAGTATATTCATACATATTTTAGACTCTTATTGGTTTTTTTAAACATAGCGTACGTAATAGTTAAATCAGTATTATTAGAAAAGTCAGCTATTTTATTATTAATATCTAAGTATACAATTAGATATAACATCATAAATAAAGTATGTAAAAATTAAATTCGTGTTTTATTTTTCGCAGTAATTGGCAAGCGGAAGTGAACTGGTTTTACCTATTTAGGAAAATATTATCTAAGTATATAAAACTGGAGATCATTTATTTCGGTCATAATTAACAAATAATAAAAAAACATATGTTGAAACATGAAGATTCCTGAAAAAATGAGGCATTTCATAGGTTTCGCATACAGGCGCTGTGGGGATCGGCACGGTCCTGCTTGTACAGAATACAAGCGTGAATAGCAACATAATCTTGCAGTATTTCATTTTGAAAGTGACGGTAAACGGATACTCTTTATACTGGGAATGAGGTATTCTAGCTTATTCCTCAGGAGTGACAACGCATCTGTATTTGGATTTTTATTCCTATTGAACTTATATTTTTATACACTTAGTAAGGGGTGAACTGTGTGGTCATTTAGCATCCCTTCGTCTATAGCAAAAAACCGTGCGACGGCGACTCAGTACTTGGTGCTGACTATTGTACATCAGTATGTTTTTGTCAAACACAATGCTCTGGGTTACGTTTAAACTCAGTACTCACGCATAGTTATAGTTCAAAAACATCAGCAATGAACGTATGTAAATATGATAAATTCTTGAATTGCTGTGTTTTGGGTTATAGCTAAATAAAAAGTATGTACCGCTTGCTGTCCGTTTGTAGGCACACTGCCCACAGAACACACATCACTCAAGACCTAGACTTACTAAAGACAATCAGCACTGACGTTTTCTCTCAACAAATCACGCAGTTTTTGCAAACAGTAGTAATAATAAGCAACAACTTTGTCACTTTCAATGATACGTAAATAAAATATGTCATACATGTGTCCAAAACATTTAAATATTGTTTGTTGCATACTGTCGACAGAGAGTGTGGATATAAACATAATATTATAATCGCCAACATTTGCAAAGCCTATTTGATTCACCATATCTTCTTCGTAATCAGCCACTTTTATTAAAAGACGCGGCCGACCTCAACTTCTTGCGGATCCTTGGTGAGCTCCAGCGAGGAACGACGCGGGAGTCACTGAGTGTCACTCCCTCGTCGACATCATCAGCTTCAGTTTTGATCTCCATTTTCTGTAACGAAAAGGATCTTAAAAATAACTCATAGTAATATATAACAATAATAATTCATTTATTTCAGACCTATCCATATTTGTTAACAATTTATAATCTAAAGACCTATAACATTAAAGAAAATTAAAATTAATAAATATATAGGTAAATTAAATAAAATTAAAATTAACATACTAATCAAGGTTATATTTTGTTTAATTTGCTGAATGCAGATGCTAGCTGGTACACTCAGGATGATGTTGGTGCTATGTGTCCCGCATGCGATTCAACATGGAGGGCCATCTTTTGCGCATTATGGCTTTCAAACCCATCAACATGAAAGGGGTTATATGAGTACAGACCCTCTTAGACATTTTTCTAAAAGACAACCTTCTAATTATGTGTCACGAGTTTCAATTTGTAACTTCAGTCAAAGAACATATGTGAAAAGAATGAATAAATAAAAGGTTATCGCATAATCCTTTCATTGGTATGAGTAGCGACGGTTTGAACATGTTACCAAAATTATAATCGATGTTACGCGATAGTATTGATACTATGGTTATATGCGTCTAACCTAATTATATCGATGAAATGCATACAAAAGGAAAAGTAAACTAATAGTCAATATTAAATGTCCCACTGCTGCACACACGTGTCTTCTCATTTCTTAAAGGGTTATAGTGATAAGTCTGCCGCGCTACTCCATTTGCACACTCATTATTGGACTTCACATGGCCTAGAAAAAATTAATCACCAGAAATAGATATTTTATAAGAATATTTTTCTTAACGACCGAGCACGTAGTACAATAAGCACTTTGAAAAAAAGTCATCTTCAAATCCAAGCTGCTCGCGTACGGTCAAATTCAGAGTGGGCACTTAGTCCCTGAGCCACCACGGCTTACCGACCTAGATTTGCGCAGTTAGAGCAAGGAACAATTGAAACTCTTTTGGTGCTAAAGTTCTTCTGACCTCTAGCAGCAGAAGGCTTCCAGAGTTCAGAAATAGTGTATAAATAAATAAAATCCGGTTTTATATTGATTTTGATTTTAATTTTTTTGTGCCTTCGTTATAATGACAATTATGGCATAATATGCTCTACCTGTCCTACATATACATGCCTTTAGGCCGCACTTCCACCTGCTAGAACACACGCGGAAGTCTAGCATAAGTTTCGTGCAACACTATTTACATATCAAATGAATTCTTGCAATTTTTTTCTGCAATAAATAGCTCGTGAGAAGCTCACGAATCATATTATCGCAACTTATCGCAGAGGTATTTACACACGATAGTTATAGATGTCGTAAAAGTTATGACAATTTAGTTTCGTGTTGTTGCAGGTGGAAACGCTACCTTATAATTTATTTGCCAAATCTCATGTTAGGAATTTATATTATCTCATAATTAAAGATTTGAGGAGTTGTAATAACTTAAAATAATAAATATTTTTTTAATCTTTGATATTTAAAAAACAGTAACAATAATGCCAGCATCTACTTTCTTTTCATTGCGAACATAAATATCGATATGGATCCTGAAATTATCGGCCCGTAATATGGGATAGTATCTAATGCATTCCATAAAGCAATATGGGCCACCGGCGGATCTGATGGGAGTAGCCATACGAAGGCATTCCCCTATGTCAAAGCATAAGTCAACGCAGTCCTATGCGTACAATAAAACTAGTTGCAGCCGCACTGTTCACCAGACTAAATCTGAATAGACGTCCTACAAAAATTCTAAATTGTTCAGTTTTTTGCTGCAAAAAGAGATCTGCTTCGCCAAATTTACAAAAAGATGGTATTACCTTTCATATAAAATTACTTTTTAATCACATTATTGCTATTTATTTATTTTTAAACTTAACAAACAAACAAGACAAAGCTGTATCGCTCAAAATCGCTATTGCAACACCCCTCCAATCCACCAGTGGCCCGTGTTGCTCTATAAATGCATTCTTAATTAACCTGAATTCCTGTTTTAAATTGAGCGTACTTTTTTGTTACTCCACTTCATACTACACCAACAGGAAACGCTTTACAAACTGTGGTGAGTGCGCATACTACATAGTTAACATCTGCAAGCTACAGTGACAGACTATTGGACACTTTTTGCAGGTGGAAACGCGGCCTTACAGTGTCAGCAACTTATATAAATTTAATATTAGTCTCACCTGCACAATCAACCTAATCAAAACGTGTTGTTGTTCAAGAAGTTGCGACATTTCCCGCATACGACGTTTTTGTTTATCTAGCTCCGCCGAGATGTAGTCTTCGCTGCTTTCCAATACCAGATCTAATCCCGCTGCTTGAAATTGATAAAATACAATTTAAAATGACCAGTAAATATTGTCAGTGTATATTATAAAAATAATGATTCGCAACTTTTTAAATTTACTGGCTTCTTAACGACAATACTGACAAAACAGTACATTATTGTTAATTAGTTTGCTACCTAAAAGAATCTAAAGCCTCTTTTTCTCGTACTTTACCAAAACGGACTCATGGCGTCTGACAGATGACAATATTACCTGAATCAGAATTTCAAAAGAATTGAAAGTATGAGGATTAATGCTACTTTTTAGTCACAGACTCGTTTTGAATCTGTCAGGTCACGTATGAAAATGAATCTTACAAAGGAAAATATCCGTGCAATAATTTTCTACAAATTTCGAATAGGTCTAATACGGCTTCAGTGTTTCGAAAAGCTAACTTCTGTATTTTATGATGAAGCCCCATGTCTGAGGACTGTCGAACGCTGGTGTTTAGAATTCCAGCGTAGACGTACCAATCTTAGTGACAAATCTCGTGAAGGATGTCCAAAATCTACCTTCACTGAAGATAACATCGTTGCTGTGAGAAAACTAATTCTCAATGATCGTCATGTGAACTATCGAGAGATAAAGGCGTTATTATGCATTTCAAGAATATCCATTCAAAAGATCTTGCATGATGCGCTTGGTGTGAGAAAGCTAATATGCCGTTCAATCCCGCATTTGCTTTCCGACGGTCATAAAGCAAACCGCGTCAGATGTTGTAAGAAAACTCTTCAAAGGTTCAACCGAGGAGAGTCAAATCACGTCCACTATATTATCAGTGGTGACAAATCTTGGATCGACGAGCCCAAGCCGACTAAAGTTGTTCGCTCTCGAAGCACTTCAAAGAAAATGGTGACCACGTTCATTGCAAAAACCGGCCATGTTGCGGTGATTGAACTTGAAGATCGTCTTTTTTTATAGGAGAGGGGGCAAACGAGCATGCGGCTCACCTGATGGTAAGTGACTACCGCCGCCCATGAACAACTGCAACACCAGGGAGGGAATTGCAGATGCGTTGCCGGCCTTTTAAAAAGGAGTACGCTCATTTCTTGAAGGTCCCTAAGTCGTATCGGTCCGGAAAAATCGCTGATGGTAATCGATTCCACAAGGAAGTCGTGCGAGAAAGAAAACATCTTCTAAATCGCACAGTGGTGGACCGCCAATCATCCAGATGGTGTGGATGGTATCGGGAGTTCTGCCGCGATGTGCGTTCGTGAAATTTGGCGGCTGGGATTAATCCGAACAATTCCGAAAGAAAATGCAAAGGGATGCAACATCTCTTCGCAGTGCCAATGAATCGAGCCGATCGGAAAGGACTCGGTCGTCGACGATTAGAGCCTTGTAAAGTTGCAGGCGGTGTGCCGGCATGAAATGTCCCGCTCTGCTGAGCACGCCAAGCTTTTTAGAGGCCAATTTGGCCTTCTCTTCCAAGTGACCACGAAACTGCACGTCACTTGATATGTTGACTCCGAGGATACCGATACTGGCTGAGGCAAGAAGGGGAGTGCCTTGAAACTGAGGAGATACGACAAAGAGGTTCTTTTTAACGGTAAACGCGCAAACTTGTGTCTTCTGAGGATTAAACTGGACTAGATTTAGTCGCCCCCAATCCGAGACTTTGTTCAGCAAAAACTCGACTTCAGACACAAGTTTGTTCCGGTACTTGGCGACGTTTCCCCGAGAAATATTGGCACGGCCGGTGTATAGCGCATCACCAGTGCTGTCATCCGCATAGCAATGAATATTACCAGTTAGCAGCATATCATTGATATGCAGAAGAAACAGCGTTAGTTAGAGCACGCAGCCTTGTGGAACACCAGCGTTAATAGGCTTGTAGTCAGAACATGCACCGTCTACAACGACCTTGATGCTCCAATCTGCAAGGAAGCTGGTGATCCCATTGCACAATTTCTCGGGAAGCCCATAGGAAGGGAGCTTCGAAAGAAGCGCTTTGTGCCAAACCCGATCGGAGGCCTTCGCAATGTCCAGACTAACGGCCAACGCCTCCCCCTTGGACTCTACTGCCTCCGCCCATCTATGGGTCAGGTAGACCAGAAGATCACCAGCTGATCGACCCCGACAAAAACCGTATTGGCGGTCACTAATCAGCTGGTGATCCTCAAGGTACCGGATGAGCTGGCAGTTAATAATGCATTCCATTATTTTGGAGAACAAGGAGGTGATCGCGATAGGCCTATAGTTGGACGGGTCTGAGCAGTCGCCTTTTTTAGGGATCGGGTGGACAAAAGCTGTCTTCCATGAATTCGGGACTACGCCTTGGGAGTAGGAGTACCGGAAAAGACGCGTTAGGACCGGTGCCAACTCCGGAGCACACGTCCTCAGCACAATTGGGGGGATTCCGTCAGGCCCACTCGGCTTCTGGATGTCTAGGGAGAGAAGTGCTTCGCGAACCGAGCGCTGTGAAAACAGCACATCCGCCATGGAGCACTCACACCGCGGGATGGTCGGCGGTGTTTTCCCCCCGTCATCAAGAGTCGAGTTGGACGCAAAAAGGGAGCCTTAAAGGTCAGCTTTGTCTTTTGCGTCTTGGGCCAGTGAGTCGTCCTCCCTGTGCAGAGATGGTAGTGATGGCTTACAGAAATTCCCTTGGACAGCCTTGGCGAGAGACCAGAATGCACGGGTTCCCGAAGGAAGGCGAACTAGTTTCTCACCAATTCTGCCTATGTGCTCTGACTTTGCCTTGGCAATAACTCTTTTGAAGGACCTGGAGGCGAAGTTATACTTCTTTTTAAATGTGCTGGTGTTTACATCCCGAGTCGCCAAAACCGCAGCCCAGGCTTGATAACACTCCTGCTTACTGCGTAATGCAGTCTTACAGGAGCGACCAAACCACGGCTGAGATCTGCCTCCGATGGGTACCACAGATGATGGAATAAATAGTTCCATTCCCTGTAGCACCACATCAGTGACAGAGTCAGCAACAGCGCTGGGATCATCCGGCGAGAAGCAAACCCGCCCCCATGGATAGGATGCAAAAAAAGACCGCATTCCGTCCCAATCCGCCGACCTGTAATGCCAAACACGGCGGCAACCTGCAGAACGCAACCGCGAAGGGAGCGTGAGTGGCATCACACTCCGGATCAGACAATGGTCCGAAGAGCCGAGAGGGTCATCGACGGAAACCTGATATCCGTCCGGATGAGAGGTCAGCAGAAGGTCCAACAGGGAAGGTCTGTGATCCTCCACATCTGGAATCCGCGTAGGCGAAGTAACCAGTTGTGTCAGACCATATGCCGAGGCAAAGTCATAAACAGATCTCCCCGCATGATCGGTTAAACGTGAACCGAGCCATTCGGCATGGTGGGCGTTAAAATCGCCAAGGATCACGATCTCTGCGGATGGGACCTGTTGTAGCAAGGAATCTGTAGCCATTTGGAAGTGGTCGATGAGTCGGTCTGTTTCGGCATTACCGCTATGGGACCTATAGAGGCACTCGTAGACGCGCGGATGGTCGTCGCTGTCTACGTGTAGCCAAAGGATGGACAGGTCCGAACCTTCAAGACTGCCGAGGCGTCGAGAACAGATGACATACACGCAAACTCCAGCCCGAGGTACAGAGGAGTGCTCCAATTTGTACCCCGGGTCTCGTCTCGAGATGGTAGTGGACGGCGTTTAGGTTAGAGTGAAGTCCCCTGATGTTGCAGAAATTCACGGATAGCGTGGCAGGGGTCGCCTTGGTATTGTTGCTCAGTTTGCCCCGAGCAGTTTTGTTTTTGAGCGGAATTTTGCCCCCCCCCCCCCCCCCCCCCCCAGAATACGCGGGGCAGCCTGAGCACCCACGCTCAGGATTGGAATAACATGGTCATGGATGCCCAGCGAGGGATTCTCCAGGGGTACTGGTACCCTCCTGGGGTAGTCTGTCGTGTAATTCCGCTACCATGTTGATTGGGGGGGGGGGGGGGGGGAATTGGGCCTCCGGCCACCTGCACTCACCAGACGAAACGCAGAAGCAGAGCCTCTACTTCACGCCGGCATTTCGTGAGGTCGTGGTACCAACCCGGCTCAAGCTGGCCCATACGTGCAACAGCAAAAACTGCTGCGTGGCTCTACCACCGTTAGTACGGTTAATGCAGATACCATCGTTTGTTTACCACAAGTCATCGTGGAACTTCGGAAATCTAACGCAAAGTGACGCATCATCCTAAACCATGACAAAGCAAGCTCACACAGCGCTGATTAAACGATTGAGAGTTTGAAGCAGGAAAACATAGAAATTCTCGACTATACTCCATACAGTCCTGACCTAAACCCTAACAATTTCTTTCCATTTCCTAAAATTAACAAAAATATTCGTGCGCAAAGGTTTCAGTCCGTTGAAGAAAAATTCCAGAAAATATACAAAATTTGACCGGCTCAAAGTTCAAAAACTTTATTAAACTAAGTTTGTATTAAAAGGGTTATCATAATATTAAGGAATTTATGGATGATAATAAACCCTGGAAATGAGGTGATCGCTACCAAGCTATTTCTAATTTGTTGTGTTGTTAATGTGTGTAACATACATGATTGTTAGCTGTTATTTAAAAAAAAAGTCCCGCTGGGTTTCTTGCTGGTTCTTCCTAGGACATAGTTTTTTACCGAAGCAGTGGTAATTAAACAAAAGAGTGACTTTCAATAAGTATTATTTATAATCTTATTGAATAAAAAAGTTTCTGTTTCTGTTTCTGTTTCAGCAGTGGACTAGAGATTGGCTGTAATGATGATAAAAATGATGTTAATGAGGGTGAAAAACCAAACTTATTGAGGGATAAAAAAGATAATACACACTTGGGGCCGCAGTCGGCTGCCTTGGAATTAGTAGGAAAACATGTGTAATACTTAGTCGGGTCATAAGTTCTGTCAAAACTTTATTATTTAAAATTTTTGAATACTGGCTAGATGAACTTCACCAATTTTAAAAATATAACGTTTGCGCTTGATGAAAATAAAAACTTAAAACATTAATATTCATTCATTTTCAAAGATGGAGTGGTTGAAGAAAGAAGATAGAGTAGCGGTTATTGCGTTGCACCGCTGTGGTTACGAGCCAAAAGAGAGTTTCAATATTCTACGAAATTTGAAAATAACCCTACGGTTTGTTTATCGCACTATCAAACGATTCACTAAAGATTCAAGCTTCGAAGATCGTAATAGGACCGGCCGACCTCGTACAGTTAGGACAACCGCGATCATCATAGCAGTGAAGGCGTGAATCCAACGAAATCCTGTTCGTAAACCAAAAATCTTAGCTCTTCAGATGGTCCTAAGCAGAACCACGGTCACGAGGTGTACCAAAATACCGTCGTAACAACCATAGTGGATCCTCTTTCTCAAACAATGCTCAAAAACAGACATTAGATATTCCAACAAAACTCTGTACCAGTTCATAGTGCACGAAGCACGCAAAACTGGTTGACCGGCCGTAGAATAGACTTTATCGGACATAAATACTGGCCCTTTTCTAGTCCAGATTTAAGCCCACTGGATTCCAAGATATGGCAACATTTTGATGAGAAAGTCTGCGCTAAAGCTCATCAGAATTTGGAATCTCTCAGAGCATCTTTGGCTAAAACAGCGGCAGAAATAAATATGAATTTGGTGCGTGCTGGGATTGATGATTGGCCGCGTCTATTAAGGACATATATTCAAAATAGGGGAGGGCATTTTGAATAATGTATATAAAATTGTATTCTAAATTATTATACCTTTCATTTAATAAATAATTTCTATATAATTATAAAAAAGTGTATTATTAATTTTATAAAAGTTTTTGACAGAACTTTGACCTGACTAAGTATAACAAGGCCAGTAGTTATTACTTGGAGGTAACGATAAGTTACAAGTTTCAAATTCAGTCGTAGAATGGCCATTCTCTTGCTGGTTCATAATTAACATTTTGGGGAGAGAGTTTCAAATGTTAGCCTGATATGACAACAGTAAAAATCGTTACAGTGTATCAAAAGTCCATCACTGAACATAGACCTCCCCCACAAATTGTGCCATGGGAATTTTGCCGTAGTTGCCAACAAGAGCTATTGCTCATCCCCTGGTTTCTTTTCTTCTGTCGTTTCTTACGAAATCCACGGAACGATATGGCCTGGTGGACATTCTCACCCGCCAATATATGGTTACAGTAAAAATAATAAATGATATACATAATATATTCTCCTCAAACAATGTAAGCAAACATAGTACCTAGTCAGGTCATAAGTATTGTCACACAGTAATAACTTTTCTTTTAGAATCCTGGCCACAAAAAGTTTATTGAATTCGAATTTCGAATTGTTCATAAAAATAAAACTGTATACTTTTTAGAATTTTACTCATTTTTAAATATGGTGTGGACGCTTAAAGAAGACCGTGTTGCAGTTATTGCGTTGCATCGTTGCGGTTACGCGCCAATTCAAATTTTTGACATACTGAAAAATTTAAATATAATTAAAAGATTCGTTTATCGTACCATCAAACGATACAATGAAGACTCTAGTGTAGTGACAGGTCAAGAAGTGGTCGCCCTCGGTCTGTTAGGACTCCAGCAGTGATAAAAGCTGTGAAGGCACGAATTCAAAGAAATCCCAAACGTAAGCAGACACTGTTGGCCCTTCAGATGGGGTTAAGCAGAACCACGGTGAAAAGGGTGTTAAATGAACACTTAGGGCTTCGGGTATATCGAAGAAAAACAGGACATCGTTTGAATGCTCGTCTAATGGACCTGAGACTGAAGAGATGCCGCGCTTTGTTGAAGCGGTACGCGGGAAAAAATATCGGGAAATTCTTTTTTCGGATGAATTAATTTTTACCGTAGAAGAGAGCTACAACAAACAAAATGATAAGGTGTATGCACACAGTAGTGAAGAAGCGAGCAACCGTATTCCGCGTGTCCAACGAGGTCATTTTCCATCCTCGCTCATGGTATGGTTGGAAGTTTCTTATTGGGGCTTAACAGAGGTACATTTTTGTGAGAAAGGTGTAAAAACGAATGCAGTTGTGTATCAAAATACAGTCCTGACGAACCTTGTGGAACCTGTTTCTCATACCATGTTCAATAACAGTTACTGGGTATTCCAACAGGATTCGGCGCCAGCTCATAGAGCGAAGAGCACACAAGACTGGCTGGCGGCGCGTGAAATCGACTTCATCCGACACGAAGACTGGCCCTCCTCCAGTCCAGATTTGAATCCGTTAGATTACAAGATATGGCAACACTTGGAGGAAAAGGCGTGCTCAAAGCCTCATCCCAATTTGGAGTCACTCAAGACATCCTTGATTAAGGCAGCCGCCGATATTGACATGGACCTCGTTCGTGCTGCGATAGACGACTGGCCGCGCAGATTGAAGGCCTGTATTCAAAATCACGGAGGTCGTTTTGAATAAACTTTAGTGTCATAAGAATCTATGTTTTGTTAAGTTCATTTTGATATATAAATGGTTACATAATGAATAAACTTGTTTCAATTATTTTATATTAAACATGTGACAGAATTTATGACCTGACTAGGTATAGTTATCTATGAATATTTGGTAATTGCATGTATTTTTTCATGATCAACTCACTAAACCTACCATCGTCAGTAAATGGGTTACAGAACCATTTCCTTAGAATTATATCCAAAAAGCCCAGTTTGCATTTATTTGTGTTCGGATATTCAATTAATTCGTCTTTATCAACTTTTTCTAGAATAAACGCCGGCAGTTTCCGCTCCAATTCAGTGTGCAACACCACCTGTATTTATAATTAGTGATGTTATAAATAAACATTAACAATCTTATTACTAAAAGATGTTTAAACTACGATTTAATAAGAGTCCTTCTAACTAAGGAAGTCACTTTGATTCAGCTCCACAGTCTTCACGAAATTTGACATTTGATGTCAAACTATACATTATATACTTCAATTTGCATTATTTCCGCAATACCAGGCCTCTGTTACTCTTGCTACCTGCGTGAAATAATTACCTACAATCGCGAGCTGCCCCAGGGGTAGATCGCAGTCGGGGCTAGCGCGCTCTAGGCGATTGAATGTTAAAGTTTTTTAACCCTGTTCACGTAAATAATTTTTTGTAAATACTTGTTGAAATACTCGTGGAAATAGTTTTTGTTTAGTGTTTAGTATATTTAATTGTAGGATAAAATAGTTGAAATTTGATAAAAATGGCAAAACGTCGTTTCTACTACAACTGTTGCGGGGATGGATGCTGTAAATTTATTTCATTTTTTTGTTAGGTAGGTACTTATAGTGAAAAAATTATTAAGTAATAATTTAACTACAGAAGTAATACTTAAGTACTTAATTACAAAACTTAGTTGTTTACTTTATTACTATATTTTAAGTTATAATAGCACAAAATATTGAAATTAAAACTTTGTTTACAAGATTTTCAACTAAGTAGTTTACGATCACATTTCTGTTAGGAATCATATTTCGGGTTTATTTGTTGTTTACGCTATCTACCTACAGGTTGTTCCAAAAGTCAATGTCAAGCCGGAATCGGGTGATAGGACAAATCATAATAGTTACCAGAAAAATATAAAACAAATCTTAGTCATGTATTTTTTAAATTACAGTAATTTCTTTTTTTTTAATGTAAGCCATGTGATAGATTTTTAGCTCCTTTAGTTACGAATTTTTACTTTTTTCAATTTTTTTTGTGTAATCTAATGCTTGTGCTAACTAGCTAACTTCTCCAACTTAGAAGAAAATGTCACTTTTATCCGAAGATAGAATGAAAAATTAATACTTCACCCTTAATAAGGATTCTAAAATGGTATAGCACTTGCTACATTATTTCTTAGATTACGGGGAAAAAAATTTTCTTCAAGAATCTCAGTTTAAAAAAATCTTTTTATCTATATATTATTCTATATATTTTTATATAATCTAAAAATGCTTTTAGCGTTACCAAAGCTTGCCTTGAGCGTGATTAAGATTCCAGTTTTAGCGAGAGGAAATAAGAAGTGTGAGTGAGACAGATAGTGACGCTTTCGATTCAGATGCTTATGGGTGAGTGAGATAGATAGTGACGCTAATGTGTCAAATACCAAGAAAGTCATTTATGAGGTGCGAGCGACACACATAGTGATGCCACTTTTTGAGTGATGGCGCACGCAATGGAGATCCGTACGTTACGCTCCTTCGTTTACTACGCATCTTTCCGTATTCGTTCGTGTTATTTCGTACTTACCGGTTTTTTGCTGCGCTTATTGGACTTGTTTGCTTGTTATTTGGATTTGGACAGGTTCAATCTTTTAACGACAACCTTGGCTTTCTCCTGAACCATACCATACAGGAATATGCAAACATGCACTACATTTATGGGAAATGCTAGCCCTGCGGCTAGACTGTATCGCGAGAAATACCAAAATACTGATCGCTATCCAGATCATCGAGTTTTTACAAAAGTGCACCGTCTACTCTTTACTGAGGGCAGACTTCCAAACCAAGTACATGGTGAAGGAAGAAGTTCGTTACCTTACGAGGACATAGTACAAGCAATTGAAGAAGACCCAAGTACTTCGGTACGAGCAATTCAGGAAAGCACAGGAGTGCCCAAAAGTACAGCTCACCGAATTTTACAAAAAAATGAGTTACACCCGCACCATGTACAGAGAGTACAAACCCTGCTACCTCAAGATTATCAACGTCGGGTTGCATTTTGCCAAACGATGCTACAAAGACACCGCGAAGATGCGCGATTCTTAGAAAAAAATTTGTGGATGGATGAATCGACATTTAAAATGACGGTTACATGAACCTACATAATTTATACGAGTGGCACGTAGAGAATCCGAATTTAATGAGACAAGACAGATCTCAATATCGTTTTAAAATAAACACGTGGACTGGAATTTTAAACGAAAGAGTCAGGATCTTTTGAGTTGCTAGAGGTCTTGAATGCTGAAATTTATTTAGGTTTATTACAAAACCATTTACCTAATTTACTTGAAAACGTGCTAAGTATATACAGAGAGATGTGGCTGATACCAAGACAGCTGCCCAGCTCACTCAATCCGAAGATGAAGAATCAATGAAGAATATCCGGGCAAATGGATAGGGCGGTCTGGTACGATCTCGTGGCCAGTCCGTTCCCCAGATCTAAATCCATTAGATTTTTTTTACTGGAGAGCAGTGAAAGAGAAAGTTTATTTAAAGCCCATTTAAAAATTTAGCTGAGTTTCGGCAAAGAATTACGGAAGCAGCTGAATTTGTCAACAACGGAAGATTTCCCCGTCTGATAACCCGGTTTTTATAAGAAGATATCAAGCTTGTATTGCATCTGAATTAAAGCTATTTGAACACCTTTTGTAAAAAAATCTTAGCATTCAAATAATTGTTGTTTAATTATAAACTTAAGGAAAATTTATCCTAAATTTAAGAAAAAGTATGACTCGAATGCGTCACTATCTGTGTCACTTACACTTCATGGATTGATTCTTCCTCTCACTCAAGCTAGAATCTTAGTTATTCTCATGGCAAGCTTTGGTTACACTAAAATCATTTTTAGTAGTTGAAAAGAATTTTATCAAAACTGGGATTCCTGAAGAAATTTTTTTTTCCTGTAATCTAAGAAATAATGTAGCAAGTGCTATACAATTTTAGAATCCTTATTAAATGCGTCAACTTTTAAGGTTACTTGCTAAACTGGCGTAGTACATTTTTTTTCAGTACAGTCAGTTAAAGTTGGGCAAAGTATTAATTTTTCATTCTTCATCATCATCATCATTACAGCCCTTCACAAGTCCACTGCTGAACATAGGCCTCCCCCAAGGAATGCCAAAAAGCACGGTCCTGAGCCACCTGCATCCATCGACTTCCTGCATATCTTACCAGGTCGTCACTCTATCTAGTGTGGGGACACCCAACACTTCACCTGCCGGTACGAGGCTGCCACTCGAGAACCTTTTTTTCCCATCGGTTGTCGGTTCTTCGAGCTATATGGCCGGCCCATTGCCACTTCAGCTTATTAATCCGTTGGGCTATGTCGGTCACTCTGGTTCTACTGCGGATATCCTCATTCCTAAGTTTATCACGCAGAGAAACTCCGAGCATAGCCCTCTCCATAGCTCGCTGAGCGACCTTGAGCTTCCTCATCAGGCCAGCAGTGAAGGACCACATCTCAGTACCGTATATCATAACTGGCAACACGCACTGGTTATACAGTCTCGTTTTCAAGTTTTGAGGTATACCTGACGAGAAGATGTGCTGTAATTTCCCGAACGCTGCCCAACTGAGTTGAATCCGTCGATTGACCTCTCGGTCGAAGTTGGACTTACCTAGTCGGGCTATTTGTCTCTGGTAAACATACTCGTCCACAACTTCGAGCTTAGTGCTCCCAACAACTACCGGCATAGGTGTGACATGGACATTAAACATGATATTTGTTTTGTCCATGTTCATCTTAAGATCTATCCGTTGGGAAGCACTATTGAGGCCATTGAGCATAGTGCTTAGGTCCTCCATCGATTCTGCCATAAGGACTATATCATCGGTAAATCGAAGGTGAGTGATGTACTCGCCATTGATGTTGACACCGTATCCTTTCCAGTCTAGAAGCTTGAAAACGTCTTCCAATGCAGCGGTGAAAAGTTTCGGGGATATGACGTCACCCTGTCTTACACCTCTCTGCAAATGGATAGGTTTCGTACTCTGTTTCTGTACTCGGATAGCTATCGTAGCCCTACTGTACAAGCACTTCAGCACTTCGATATACCGATAGTCAACTTGGCACCGCTGAAGGGACTCGGTCTGTAGTTCTTCAAGAGAGTGTTGTCACCTTTCTTGAAGAACAAGACCACCGCACTTCTGCTCCACGCCTCCGGTGTAATGCCACCATGGAGGACGAAATTAAAGAGCTTCTGAAGGACTTCAAGTACCGGTTTTCCACCCGCTTTCAGAAGCTCCGCTGTAATTGCATCCTCGCCTGGGGCCTTGCCGTTTTTAAGGTGCTGGAGAGCCATTCTAATCTCGCTCAGACTGACGTCCGGGATATCATCGGAATAGTGTCGGATAAGACTCGCTCTTGGATCGTTACTCACACTTGCGTGTGGCTCCAACGATGACGTGTACAGCTGCCTTACTCACTCAAAATCTCAGGTGCCCCGGAAACGATGCTGCCACATTCTGTCTTCAGCTTTGACAGTTGGCTCTTTCTGATAGACAGATCTCTGGCAAAGACTTTGGAGCCTTAGTTCCGCTCGATCGGTTCTTCAATACGAGCTGTATTGAAGTTGCGTAAGTCCCGCCGCATGCATTTGGAGATTTGTCTGTTCAATTGCCTGTATGCTGTCAAATCTGTTGAAGAATGTAGCTTCATCTCCCGTCTAACAGCCATGAGATTAAGAGTGTAATCGGAGAGCTTTCGTGTTCTTCTGCGGCGGGTCTTGCAGAACTTAGCTCCGACCGCATGGACAGTTTCCACGAGCTTGTCATTCATATCGTCCACTTCATTGCAATCTTCTAGGCACTGTAAACGGTTTTGTAACTCGAGCTGAAAGGTTTCGGGACTTTGGATTAGAGCACGAGGGGGACAGAGCGTTGACTTCATGAGACGTGAACTCTCCAACTTAACGCTTAGGTTCAGTGTGCCTCTAACCATTCGGTGATCGCTGCTGGCTTTCACCCTCGCGATCACTGAGACATCACTGAACAGTTGTCGTCTGGTCGTCATAAGGAAGTCAATCTCATTTTTTTATCCATTTGGGGGGTATTTGCCATAGTTGCCACGC